ATACTCAAAGAACATAGTTTTCTTTGCAGCATGCTTGCGACATTCATTTTTTACCCTTTTCAGCCTGCTAAATGCTTTCTCCAGAGCAATTACTTATCATTAAAGTTAGAAAAATTCGAAATATAGTTTCGTCATTTGGAAAAACTGATTGCACATTATCTTTTATTATTATATTATATAAGCTTTGAAAAGTATAGTCTTTTATTTCGGAATAATTTTTTTTTACATATAAGTAAAAATGTTTTATCTCTTCGCATAAATTTTCATCTATATCATCAGGATAATTATTTACTAATACTTTTACATTTTCTGTCAATTCGTTGTCTTTGAGATCAAAATTTAGATAAAATAAAAATTTGTTTGAAATATTTTCATACACTTCAGCTCTTTTCTGTATATTGATTTCTAAAGCGTCCATAATAGGGATAAAAGATTTTATTCGGAATTGATCTCTAGGAGAAAGATCATCAATATCGAGTGCACTTTCATAATTAATCTGTACTTTTCTAAATTTTCTTCTTTTCTTTACGTTCTTATAATCTATGTCGTCTTGTAATTTTTCTTTCGCATTTTGTTCAAATTTATCGAAATCATTTCTACTTTTTTTTATAAACTCTGATAAATATGCATACATTTTTGAACATATATTTAATGATGTTTGAGGATCTTGTAATATTTTGCTGGTTTTTTGAAACTTTTCTAATATATTATTATATAATATAAACATAAACATAAATTCAAGTTCTTCCATTTTCTCGTGAATAATAGATGCTTCTCTTTTAGTTTCGCCATTTTCATATTTATCATCTTAAAATATTTTAAAGCATTAATAATTGAATTGTTAAATTTTTTTAAAAACTTGTACTCTTGTAGCCTTAACATTTGCTTCCCATCTTGTAACAAAAAGACATTTTGGAATTTCAGAATTGGATCCTAAACTTGGTTTTAAAATAGACCATCGTTTTGTCAAAGCAGAAAAAAATATGTATATTTGTTGCAAAATCGCAAAAAAGTTCACTGCATCTATACAACAATTAACTGCAACGCGTCCAACTAAATTTAACGAATGTCTAGCACAAGGAATATATACAGCATATTTATATTTTGCTAAAATTTTTTGTTGCATATCCTTATATCTTCCTGACATATTGGCCGCGTTATCATAGGATTGTCCTCTACATTTGTTAAAATCAATTTTACACTCATTTAAATATAATTAAATATGAAATTGGCAAAATTTTCTCCAGAATGGTTTTCTATTCGTATAAATGTTAAAAATCGTTCGACGGGATAACCATCATGAGGAGATACATATCTTACAATAACAGTTAATTGATCAATATGTGAGAAATCAGGTGTGGAATCAATAGATAAACTAAAATATCCTGCTTTTTTTAAACTT